ATTCAAAATTTTAAGCCTTTTATAATTTTCAGATAGGCACGGCAAGACTACACAAGAACAAATTCACCTTTGCATAAGTTGAATTATTTGTGTAGCAAAATGAACGAGTTGAGAGTGTTACGCAGTAAAACCTTTTCGCTTATTATAATTGTAATTGATCGTTGAACGGATTCATATCACTTCATACCTTCAAATAGATCATGCTGTTATACTAAAAGTTCAAAACTAGTTTTCTATGTACTCGACATCCGTTGCTGATATTGAAAATATTGCAAAATACAAATCATTATAAAGTGAAAAATAATTTAAAATTTTTTCTTGCAGAACAAATAAATGTTATAATTACAAAATACTGGTTTTATTTTGTTAAAAATAAAAGTACTATAAATGAAAAGAAGTACGATGTACTAACAATCCTTTTGAACGCCTTTAGAGAAGAAACATCTAAAAAAATAAGATTCGAACTTGTAACAGAGTACCCTTTAACAACTGCATAGCCAAATGGATAAACATATTACCATATAATACGGTACTGTACATAAATAAGAAAGAAAATTTCAATCTCATTTTTTCTTGCGAATGCATGAGAATTGCATTGTATGGCTTCACCACAATTACTGGAATGATAATACTGCTAGATTTTAATTAATCCTCTAGAATAGTGTTTTTCAACCTGTGGGTCGCAACCCCCAGGGGGGTCGCAAAGCCTTACATGGGGGGTCGCGGGTAAAAGAAAAAGACAAGTGTTTGTAGGTCCTACACTACAATAAATAAAACTACAATTTCATTGAGAAGGCTTTGCGTTTTTATTTTAAAGTACAATTGGTTTTTTGATTGATATTTAGGTCTCAACAGAAAAAAAATTAAATACGTAGTTTTCAAAATCACTGATATAGTTTTAATATGGCCCTGGGAGGTCAGCAGAATTTTTTTAACTTGTAAAGGGGTCACGTATTCAAGAAGGTTGAAAAACACTGCTCTAGAATTTTTATGAGAACCAATCAGTCATATTTTAGTATTATTTCTAGAAAGAATTAGAAAAATCTTCAAGAAATGACATGTATATATGTCATTTATGCATATATATGCATAAATTTTTATGTTCTTTTTAAAATTAAATGCATAAAAAAGTATTAAAATATTCATTAAATGGTAAAAGAAAAGTTTGAACTAAAAAACATATGTACAGTAGAATGTCAATTATCCGAATCAATTGGGGACTGGGGTTGTTCGGAAGATCGATGTTTCGGATAACCGATTACGTACGAAAAAATATATTAATTTATCCCATCTTGACATTTTTATCCCTTGCGTGTCGCTTCGCGTTGAATTTTCGTCGATGTTAAGCCTAACGAAGACTATTGTATCGTTAAAAAATTTTTTTTTTATTTTGTACAAACAAAATAAATATATTGAAAAATATGAAAACAATAAAAAATTATACTTCAGAAGTTAATTTAGTATCAAAAACGTAAAATATTTGAGTAACCCAAGATATAGCCAAAGA